GTGCTAAGGCATGAAAGATGTACTAAGTCTTCCTAACTGTTCAACTTCCTTTCTAAATTTAGTCTTCCTTTTATAGAAAACAAAGGAAGAAATCATTTTGCTCATTAATCTCTGCATCATATTGCACAAGTTCAGACAAATCCTGATGGAAATGACACGTCCATCTCCTAAAATTACTGATATTTAGACATTCCTGTAAATTGGTCCCACATTGTCATTAGGACACATGAAACATACATATTCTTTTTTGAGAGTTTTTGCCTCTCAAAGTCCTTGTCTGTATACAGCATTCTGTTTTACATAGACATACCACTACAATTAATATTATCAGTGCTTTAATAGAACAGCTGTTAAGAAAAATAATAAATACATATTTAAGTCTATTTAACAGAAAAGCCTGACACAAAACATATATCTAAAGCTATAAAAGTTTGATCCTGCAAGTTGCTGACTACTCTGACCCCGATTTGCCTGTGCCAGTATGTGCTAAACACTAGTAGAACTACTTACATGTATTATACTGCCACTAATGTGCTTAAGTGCTTGGCTCAACTGGAGCGAGAGTGCTCACCACCTTGCAGGACTTAGCCCTATATATTTTACAGCATAAGAAGGACTTAATTGAAATACAGTATTTTATTTTATTGTTTACCGAAGAGAGGATATTTGCCCTCTTCCATGTAAATCTTTTGAGAACTCCATACAATCACATTAAACTGGACTTCAGAAACAAAATTAACAAGCTCTAGGCAATCACATTTTTTGCTGCAGTTCAGTGGTGATGTCCAGCAGTTAATAAGGTATAAAAAAGCTCCCAAGAGACACCAGTGACTTAAAAGTCATGTCCTAGGTTTTGTTTCCTATTTACAGCTGCTAATATGAATCCAAATAGTATATCAGCTTCCTGCCAAGTGTAGTGTGACACCAGAGAATGTTGCTTTGGATTAGCATTCTAATATTAGACTCACATAAATCATGCAACTTCCTCAAGAGTAAATCTTTAAATGATCTTTGTTTTGTTTTAACATATTAAAATATGACTAGCTGTATTCCTTTGAAAGTTTTTGTCCTGCTTTAACCATCTTACTGACAACTGATCTATCAATTTAAATTATTTTTAAAAGCATTCTCTTTATAAAAAGCCCAAATGGAAATCATATTAACTGTTATTTTGCAAGACAAAAAGATTTGTAAAATCTTTTTACAAATAAATCACTAGATCACAAATTATGTGCTGTTCCTAAAACAATTACTTTTTGAATAAAGTTTAAAATAGCATGTGATAATAATAATCTTAATTTTTCCACGAGAACAATATCATTTCAGTTGGCCCAAGACCACATATTTAATCTCTTCCTCCCTGAAACTCATGAATAATTTGGCTAATTCTCCCTGATGACACAAATACTGAATCTTGCTGAAGGTCATGCAACATGCCCAGTGTCTCTCTCATTCATGTGCTGTTCAGTACTTTGTGCCTCATATTATTTTACATTCACAACATAGAATAGCAGGTTGTTTCCATGGTAGTATAATGTCTGATATTCAGCTCATGCAGTGAATGGTAAACATCCTTGTTTCAAAAGCTAATTATCTATGTGGATTTATTTTTATGGCAGAATATCAGCTTACTCAGCTGGTGAAATAGAGGCCAGAGAAGGACAGGAAAAATGGTTAGAAGAATAGCCAGTGTTTCATACAATAGACTACTGAAAATAATGGGATTATTTGCCCTGGAAAGGAAAAGGCATAAAGGGTTGTAGGGAATTCGGAATTATGAATGCCAATGTCAGTCAAACTTAGTGATCCTCTGGCACCGGCTGCTAGTCCATTCTTGTCACCATCTGGTATTGCATGGGGAAGACAACAGAGTTTTACTTAGGTCTTGACCATGTACTCCAGTCCTCTATTCCTGGCTCTATATACACTTTGTGAGATCAGATTGCAGGTTCCTTTACTCCAAGGTACCCAATAGGCAGTCTGCAACTCTGATTCCAATTACATGACAGAGAAAGTTTATGGAAATCACAGAACAAATATATAAAAATATACAAATAAAAAAATACATATGTAGCACACATGAACAAGCACACAGGAACTCCATACAGGTATACAAGACAAAACTCACTCCACTCATGCGTGGAATATCTTACAGGGAACGCTGCCTCTAGCCTCTCCCCCGGAGTTAATGCAATGCAAGTTGGATTAATTCAATTGCAGGCTAATTGCATTGGGGGTCCTGTGGGGGCCAAACCCGCCCGTATTGGTAGAGGATGGTGGGAGGAGTTCTTAGAGGGGTCACATGACACCCTTTACTTCCACTCATATGTCCATCTTGACCCCTGAAGTACTACTTCCGGAGGTGGGATTTCTTGTGGCAGGGGGTGTGGCTAATGGGGGTCAGGGACATAATTAATATGTCCCTAATTTTGGTTCAGAAAATATGGTCACCATACATATACCACAAGAACAAAGGTGTGGGATGCAACAGTCTGCAGAGGGGATTAGTTTTAGTCAACCTGTGGAATTCACTGCTCCAGAAGAAATATGCAAATAATATTGGATTTTAAAAGCAATTAGATAATTTTGTTTTTCATAATATTTATATTTATGTATAAGGGTGTACTATAGCATAATCAAATCTCTTGCTTCACTTACTGATCACATGCTCAATACAATCACATGAGCTTGTGGAGACCTCCATTTGACCACATGCTGTTCTTCCTTCCAAAAGTGTTGTTTGCTTTTCCTAATTTCACATGAGTAAGTTAGCATTGGTCCCCTGCATACTTTCATCATCATCATCATCATCAACCACCATGGGCTCAACACCCGTTGCTGTCCGATGCCTCCCTCCCTATTTCCTTCCATCTTTCCCTGTCCACTGTGGAGTGGCTTAGTTTCTGTAGACTAGCTCCGCATCAATCTACTATATCATCTACCCATTCTCTGTGGGGTCCGCCTCTCCTATTTGGACCACCCATTATGCTGAATACCAGGATCTTAACTTTTTGCTCATTCTGCAAATATGCCCAAATAGCTGTAACTTTCATTGTATAACCTTCTGAAGTAGGTTCTCTTTCAGCTGTATCTTCCTATATAATTCCTGATTGGTGAACATCTGCATCCATCTTATTCTCAGGATCTTTCTATAACAACTCATCTCGAACGCCAATATCCTTCTCTTTGAATCTTTCGTTATCACCCATGTCTCACATCCATACAACATGCTGCTAAATACACACATTTTCAAGGTGCTCAGCTTTATTCCTAAACTAATTGCTTTACTTTTCCAGATCTTATCCATTGCCTTCAAACTCACTCTTGCTTTCACTATTCTAGTTGCTATTTCCTTCTTACAGTCTAGAACTCTAGATTATATATAATGTTGCTCCCCAAATACATGAACTTCTCTCTATATTCTCTAGTTCTATACAAACACTTTGCATGTGAATATATCCCTGACAAGCTGAAGTTTCCACTTTCATGCATCTGATGAAGTGGGCTCCAGCCCATAAAAGCTTATGCCCAAATTAACGTGTTAGTCTTTAAGGTGCCACAGGACTCCTCATTGTTTTTAGTGTAATGATTCTAAGAAATACTTTGCCACCCGTGGTCCACTCCTCCCAGTGATTATAGAGACTATAAATAAGTGAAAAATACAATTACATCTTATCTTTGTTTTCTAAAAAGGTGATTACAAAACTGCCATGCTCAGGACTGGATGTAGGGCCAGGTGATCCAGGCAACCACCTGCAGTCCCAGCCTTGAGTGCTGGGATCGGGATGCTGTAAATTATTCAGAAGTTTAACAAGTGGAGGGGATGCCCTGAAGACACTTTTCAGCCGGGGCACCATTGGATCTATGGCCAGGTCTGGCCGTTATCACACTGCCACAGGTGAAAGTAAGAAGGTACGTGCCTGGGTGCGCAGCTCTGGCAAGAACTGGCTGAGCTGTAGCAAAAGCCAGCGGGGACTATTTAAAGAGCTGGCAGGGTCTGGGGTCGCGATATGAAATTTCCTTTCCTTTCACCCCTGACATTGCCTAAACATAACTAATGCTAATATCAAAGTTCTCTGTTTACACAAACGTAAAAGGCTTCTTGTGATTAAATCAACACTACTGGAGAAGTAAAGTATACTCACTACAGTAAATATAAAATGCTAGTCTTGTTTGCAGCAGTTGATATGACCAATGCTAGGAAAAGGATAGCTACTGAGTAGTATATACACCTATTAGAGAACTGATGTGCAACTAACAGCAGCATTCTGAAATTTTCCACTCCAAAACCACACCATTTAGCCCTATGCTATTAAATGAAATTATCTTCAGTACAGTTCTCTTAGTCTGACAAGATAATTGAAAAGAGAAGTAGTGCCATGAATACAATTTACATCAATCTGTATTGTTCTGTAGTAGAGTTAAAAACATAGAAAAATTTATTCCAGATAACGATCTTGCATAAGAAAATCATTTATTTCCTCAAGATGAATGCTAAAGGTGCTATAATGCTAAATCTTCTCTAGTACTTCATATTCCACTCTCATCACTTTTTGGATCAGGAATAGCCAGAATAAAAATGCTTTTAATCAACGTTTTACACCTTAGCAAAATATCTAGGGTATTTGTGAAGAGGGTAGGAAGGTGCAGCATAACTAAAAATATAACAAAGATTTCAATATAACTAAAAAACCTTTTGTAATTCGTAAAATCAATAGTGTTAAGAACAGTCTATTATTTTGATTATCTTAATCCAATAATTTGCAGAATCTGGTGTGTCTGCCTCTTGCCAGGGCAATAAACTGTCAAACTATTTCCCCAGCTCCCCTAAGCGTGGGATCCCCTGATCTCTTGATGCTCCATTTTCCTCCGTTTTGTGACCTTCAGTGTGGGGAGGAGAAAGAAAAGAAGCTGCACCAACCTTGGGCAACTCAATGAATTTTCACAGCAGCCTGGCTCTCGCGCGAGCATGCTCAGTGAAGCTCTGACCTACTTTTGCGTGCCGAAGTCTGGAGAGCGCTGGCTGCCGTTCCGCTGAGTGAGAACGAGCCAGTGCGGCTGTTTTCTGGGGTCGCGCTTGGAATATTTCGGCACCCCAACGTTCCACCGCCGAACGTCGAGACATCGGCGTGTCGTTCCATGGAACGCAACCCGGGTCGCTGAGGCTGGTGATCGCTTGCAACATGCTACGTAGGGAGCGCGGAGAACAGCCGCAGCGAGGGAGCCACCTCCGTGAGCATTTCTCTCGGGCTTCGCGTCAGTTTCTTCTCTGTTTTCCATAGCGGTGAAGGCGAAAGGCTCTGTGGCAATCTAGAAGAGCATCGTGGGGGAAGCAGCAATCTCGGGCCGGGCAATCGCATTGAAAAGCGAAGCGGCAAAGAGGAGGGCTGGCTCACCTGCGAGATAGACATCCGGCTGCAGGTTGGATTTATTCTGATAACTTTTAGCTTCCTGTGTTAGCTTGCTGTTTTAGCATCAGGGCCCAATTAACGATTGGACACAATAGCATTGGCCAGGACCCCCAGCCATAGGGAACAGTTGTGGAACCGACTGCCAGTCTGGGAAGCATGACCATGATCTGCTGCTACTGCTGCAACACTTAGGGCAGGCTGAGGAAAGGGGGAGTCAGATCCACTTCTCCAGGAGTCCTGCCAGCTTAAAGATCAGAAATGGTTGTGGAATGGTCACACCTGTAGTGAGTTTTTTTTTTGGGGGGGGGGAGAAAGAAAGGCCGCTGCTACCACCCCAAAAGACTTCCCTGTCAAGAGAATCCTTACAATTTAATTTTCTTCAGATTGTATTTGCATTGACAAGCTGTACAATTGCTGCCAGTCTTGGTAAAAGAATCCTTGTCAGAGGCAGGTACAAGTTACCCGGGAGGTGTTTGAGGGTTGATTGCCTTTGTCCATTTGCCATTGCTAACCATTGCTGATCCTATGTTAGTTACATACCACAAGGCCATCTTTGTCAGCTCTCTCCACCAGGATGGGGCACTTTTTCCTCATCATTTTTGGATGAGATGTCTGTTAGGGTTCCTGATCATTGGACCAAATATTTGTCTCACTTCCTTATGTTTGGGCCATTGGAACAGAAAACGTCTCTCTCAATCGCTCCTCTGCAGCATTGACTGCAGAGTTGCCTTTTAAGAAAGGCTTCTTTCTGGGGTTAGACTGCACTCAGAGCCTCCCAATTTCCAGCTACAGTTTGTGGGCACTGATTCTGTATTTGGTGAGATTTAGCTTTCGTTTTGCACATTTCACTGCCCTGCTCTGTTCACTGAGTTCATTACTCTGACTAGGGATCTGCAGCAATCCTGCCTGTTGCTGTGTTTGATTTGCAGTATTGTCAGTCCCCATTATTCAAAAATCATGCGTCTCAAAAGGAGGGGGTTGCCAGGGCACTGTGTGGGAGTGTGTCTAAGAACTGGATTTCTTTAACTCAGATATTGTTGTAACATATCAATTGTCATGTTAGACCAGCAGTTAGTCAAATCCAGGGTCCTGTTTCTGAGGGTAACCAGTGCCTGATACTTCAGAGGAAAGTGCAATAATCTAGTTGGAAAGATTACTAAATAATTTTAACAAGAATGAATTCCAGTTCTTAAAGAACTGCTTTATTCAGCAGGGAAACCCAAGAGATCAATCAAGTATTAGGCATTCTTAATGCATCCATTACCATAGTATCTACCTCTGGTGCTTCCAAGAATGTGTACTCCTGAGCATATAAAACTAATGAGGCCAAAACCTTTTCTCTCTGAAACCTTGAACTCCAGCTTTTCCTGTTTATTTTTGGGGTTTTTTATGTTGGGGAAGATGAGGTTGGACAGTAGATTTGTGGCACATAATTATACCCCTGTGCAGAGGATGAAGGGGGCGGGGGGATTAATTCAGCAAGTAACACTTTTAAATGACAGACATTTTAAGGAAGGTTTTTTAAATTGAGCAATTTTAATCTAAAATAAAGGACATTATTGTATTTTGCATTAATTAAACGTTTTGATCACTAAAATAGTCTCATGAGATACCGATCTGAATTCCATGAGTACCATAAAGGAACAGCATTCCTTCGGGCTTCAATTTTGTAACAGTCTGACAATGCCATCATATTATGTTACTTAGCAGTACCATACAAGCAGTATAACAGGACAAGTAATTATAAATAACAAATAAGAACCATCAAGCAGTCACAGTTTAAAATCGTTTGCACAGACTTTTTACAAACGAGTAAAAGTTTCTAACAGTCTGACAACTTTGATTCCTGGTTTAGTAAGCAAGTTACAGCTTTTCAGATAGGTTTCTCTGATAAGCAACTTACCTGGTATTATTTTCCAAATGGTCCTTTTGCATCAAGTCACACCTCTTGTATGATACATTAAGTTGAAAAACTGAAATGCTAGTTCATAGTGGGAAAAGTGTTTTTGAACTGCAGTGTTTATGAAGTTAAAAAAAAAAACCTAGTATATGTTTTTATTTTTTAAAACTATACATTTTAGAACAGTGATCCTACTCATTTGCAACAGGGTATACTACAGGTCTGCTTTCCTTTTGCAGAATTTGTATCTTTCATTTATTGGGAACAGACAGCAAAAGCATATTTGTGTTTGTACAAGGGATAATAAAATCTTTCTTTGCTATATATAAACCTATTAGCTTAAAATACTGTATACCAGCACTGATTTATTGGACAGAAAAGTTGCAGCTTTTCTTCCACCATTTCACAACCATTACAATGCGGTAAAAATATCCATACATTTCAACAGCTCACGATAAAATAAATATAAATAAAGCTCTTCCAAAACATCCACCTGGGAAAGAATGGGTATACTTATAGATATGCATGGCATTTCTCAAACATAGCCATATTCTGTATCCTGAAGAGCATGCAGTTTGAGTTGAGTAGAATTAAAATACATTCAGTTAAATAAAATAGCACTGGAAAAAGGCAGTAGATGTTCACTGCATGTACACCTGCAAAAAATATCAATACTGCACAATTTCCCTCATTAAGAATCTGAGAAAAGGCCATTCTATTCTGTAATGACTGTAGTGTTTGGGGATATAAATAAAATGTTTTCGTTGTCCCACAAAATTGAAACACAATTCAGTCTTAGTAGATGGAACCCATCTGCTTTTATCATGTTCCCTAGTTGTGCTGCAAATAGCCAAGCCTGTAAGGTAGTTCAGGAAAATAAATGTAAAATATAATTGGTGCTATGTACACTTCAACACAAAAATGATTTTTTCTGCTCTCAAGAAGTACCATGTTATACCCTTTTACCAAACACTCTTATCATTACAGTGTAGATGAGACCAAAGCTCTTCTGTAACTACCCCTAGGCTGCACAGCTCAGCCTAAATCTGAAGACTTAGGCCAAATCATTAGCAAGAGTGCTTTGCCAACATAGGCTTACTAGTATACTATGCCTGAAAAATGCTCATAGTGTAGAAACAGCTAGTGCCAGCAAAACTTCATTTTTTCCCAGTATTACTCTAGTTTATTCTAGTTTCCCTGCACCCAAGCAAAATAAACTATACTGGCAAAAGCTTAACTCAGTGAACATTAGTAATGTTATGGACTAACTTGATTACCCCTCTGAATACATTGGTAGTGTTTGCCAACACCTTTCTATATCCATGAGAGATCACACCCCATCACACCCTTAATTGACATAGCCATAACAGCAAAAGTTTGTAGCATAGACCTCACCCTAAACACCCCCATTGGATTCTTTTTTGCCAGGGCAAAACTGATTTCAGCTAAAGACTAGTCTGTGACTGCCTATGTCTTATCATTGAGCACACTCCTAATTACATTATTTAGTGCTTTAAACTGAAAATTCCTGCATTTAGTTAATACAGTGTAATTTCCTATCCATGCACAGGCATGTCCTAGAAACGCCTCTGCCAAACAACAGAGATATTATTCCTTTCCACCAATTACCATCATTTAATTAAATCACTCACTGCCAAATGCAGAGCATCACAATGCATATCGAATGGGAAGGCTGACTACAGGGAGAATTG